GCGGTATGCGGGCCTCTCACTGTTGTGGCCTCTCCCGTTGCGGAGCACAGGCTCCAGACGTGCAGGCTCAGCGGCCATGGCTCACGGGCCCAGCCGCTCCGCGGCATGTGAGATCCTCCCGGACCGGGGCACGAACCCGCATCCCCTGCAACGGCAGGCGGACTCTCAACCACCGCGCCACCAGGGAAGCCCTGCGGCTTCTTTTAACTTCATTTATCGTGCCTGTGGCTGTGTTGTATGTTGAATGTCACAAATATGATCTGGTCCCTGATCTCAGAGAGGGGAGGCCCATGTGTAACAGGGGAAATGAGTCAGAGGATACAGGACAGGAATTAATTTGGCCGAGGGAGGCTTTGCCCAGAAGAGAGGGTGCAAACAAGGCTTTGAGGGAGATAAGCCCGCTGGCGGGGCTGCCACGTGACACCCTGCTACCTTCACATCTGCACAGAGTGGCTGGTTGACAAAGGCTTTCACACCCGTTATCTAGTTTGATCCTCACAATAACGCTGGGCTAAGAACTTCAACAGTTTACAGGTGGGAAACTGAGGCAGAGGGGATTCGATCCAAGATGACAGGCCAGCAGTTAGCTTCCTGCCTGTCTCCTGACTCCAGACCAATGCCCCCTGCTCCTCTCCCGTAATAAAATGACTCCCAGGGTACCCGACTGACCAAGAGCAGCTCGAAAGAGCCTGTGTACCCTCCTCTGGCTGCTGGCTGAGGAGAGCGGGGTCATTCACATCTCCCCACCTCCCACAGCGGACAGACCCCACTCACCCCGGAAGGGAAAGGTGCCCAGCTTGTGCAGATTCTCCTCCAGTTTCCCACAGTCCACCTCGGCCGTGGCAGTGAAGGGGGTGGTCACAGGGGGGTAGATGCCTGAGATGTCCGCCTTCCTCCCCTCCCCTGAGGCCCAGCCCCCCACGGTGCTGGACAAGGCCCTGCTCAGCCCCTGCCTCACAGAGGACCAGACTCGGGGGCCCAGCATCTCCACAGGAGGCTCAAAGCCCAGCTGGTCTCTGCCCCCGAGGGATGCTGAGTTTGGACTCCTTCCTACCCCAGTTAATGATCTATGTGTCTGGTTAAAAATTGGCTGCCCCCTGACTTGTTGGCCCTCAGGCAGGCCTGGGCTGGGTGTTTCCAGGGTCAGCGGCTAGGCCTGTTGGCTCCAGGGAGGTCTTCCCTCCCCCTGGGGAGCAGCTGGAGAAATGCCACAACCCAGTGTCCCTGTGGCCAGACGGAGGACTGGTTCCTGGGGTCCTTACACAAAAGGGTGCCTCCAGTGGGGCCCGGGCCTCCTCCCACAATTCCCAGCCCCAAAGCCAGGAGCCAGGCTGGCTTCCCCGCTTCCGCTTGGCAGTTGCGAGCTTGGCGGAGCTGATTGGCTGAGCCGGCCCTTCCCTGTGGGAGGCGAGGCTGGCTGGATGAGGCCTGTGATCTGCCGCCCGCAACTGCCCCACTCCCCTGCCAAGCTCCTCCCGCCAAGCCTGCCACGTGACAGGCCCGTGCTGGTCACACACAGCCCCACAGGACAGCTGTCACCAGGAGGGGACCCCAGGACAAGTGCCCTGGGAAGCTGATCCACGCTGGGACTTGGGAAGTGGGGTGGCAGGAAAGAAGCAAAAAGAGGCCTTGTTAGGAAAAGCAGCAGGGCTGGCTCAGGGAGGCCAAAGGGCTCCAAGTTCCCCTCTTGCCGGAGCCCACCCTTGCCCCCAGTCTTCCTTCATTCCTAAATGTTTCAGGCACAAATAGAAATGAACATCACACACAGCAAAAATGACTTTTTGTTTTAATTGCGGTAGCTTGTGGGTGCTCCCGGGGCGTACACAGAGGAATGGTGCGGTCCTCAGCTCTGGGGGCCATTCTTATGACCCTCTGGCTGTACGCAGGGGACAGGCCAGGTGCCTGGCTGGGCTGGGACAGTCGTTTACTGGGCTGGCACAGGCTGGGGGGGTCTCCCGCCCACTCTCGGCAGACCCCTCCAGCCCGTTCTGCTCTGACCCCGGCTCCGGGTGCTCCAGAGCGTGCCGGGTGTCAGCCTGCCACAGCTGCACCAGGTCCGTGGGGGTCTTTCCTTCCTGGGGGAAACAAGAGGATATCTAGTCACCGTTCAGAAGTCTGTACAAAGAGGTGCCCTCATCTACGCCAGTGGTTCCCAACTGGGAGCAACTGGCAATGTCTGGAGACATTTTTGATTATGACACTGGAGGAGGGGATGCTACTGGCATCTTGAGTAGAGGCCAGGGATGCTGCTCAAACATCCGATAATGCACGGACAGCACCCCCACGACAAAGAATTATCCCGCCCAAAACGTGTGAGGTTGAGAAGCCCTCGTTTACACCTTCCCCTTATCTTCCTAACTTTCCCATTATCTCCTCAGCCTCTCTTTTTTCTTTCATATAGCTATAGCTTTTTAAAAGTATTGAGGTATAGTTGATGTACAATATTATATAAGTTACAGGTGCACAATACAGTGATTCATAATTTTTAAAGGTTATACTCCACTTATAGTTATTATAAAATATTGGCTATATTCCATGTTGTACAATATATCCTTGTAGCTTATATCATACATAACAGTTTGTACCTCTTAATCCCCTACCCCTATATTGCACCCCCCAGCCTTTCTTGAGTCAAGGTCCCCCCTTACCCAATTCTCCTCTCTTTTGTGATTGCTCTGGGCCCCAAAGAAGAGCTTGGACTGGGGGACATAGGTTCCTAAAGGAACTGGAGGACCACAGGAGCCAACACAGGGTGCTAGGAACAATCGTGCTGACTGAGTGCTTAGCTTCCTTCCGGCTCTGTCCCTCCACGATTTTGGCCTCCCTGAGCCTGGACATTAGGACCGCCTGTGGTCTACTTGGGGGCCTTTGGGAAATCCTCCTGCTGTCCCTCCTGGCTGTTTTCTCCACTTAGATTTTCTGGATGTAGAGAGGCATAGAGAGAGTTGGGAAGCTGGGTGGGCCCCCAGTCTCCTGGGGCCCAGAGAAACCCTCCACTGTGAGACTGCCCCAAGGGCAGGCCGGCCGAGTCCTGCTCAGTTCTGTATTTCTTCCGAGTGCCCAGCACAGGGCCTGGGAGAGCAGCGCACACTGTTTACTGAATCAGGAAAGGAGTGAATTTACCAGGTTCTTGCTCATCATGTCAGCCCCGTGCAGGAGCAGCAGTTTGATGATTTTGTAGCGATTGAGCCTCACGGCGTCATGCAGGGCGCTGTCCCCTTCCTAGAACCAGTGAGACATTCAGCATGGCCCACGGGGGCATGTGGGAGCCCTCAGGGGGCATATGGAGCCCCCTGTGGTGGGGCTGGGCATGAAGGAACCCAGACACTCACTCTGTCTTTGGCATTGATGTCCAGGCCCAGGGATAGAAAGTGTTCCACGATCTCCACGTGCCCCGTCCGGACTGCCACATGCAGGGGAGTGCTCAGCAGCTGGGTGGGGAGGAATCAGGAGATGCTGGCTGAAGGGACCTGGACTGTGATGCCTCTGGGAGGGGGCTGTCTTAACTCTAGCCTAATCCTTCTCCCAAGGAGGGGTAGGGAGCGCTGTAATTTCCCATCACCCTATCTGATGATCAGCTCTAAGGCATTACATGCCGCCTCGTCAGGGAAGCCTTCTATGATTCCCCTCTCACCCGGATGTGAGCAACTGCTCACTCCTCTGCCCTTTTAAAATAATTATAGTAGATGCCATTTATTGAGAAATGACTATGTGATGAGCACAGCAAAATCTTACAAAACATTAGCCCTATGTTGAATAAATAATTAATTTACATAAATTTTCCCATCCAATCTATACAAGAACTCTGCAAGACATTTTATAGATGAGCAACAGAGGCTCAGAGGCTGTCACTTGTTCAAGGTTATATACAAAGGATTGAGTGAATGAAAAATGGTGGATGAATAAATAAGTGAACAGATGAATAAATGAATGGATGGATGGATAGATAGACAGATAGAAGGATGATGAATGATGGCATGGGTGAACAAATCCTGCATCTTTGGGTGGTCCCAAAGCCACCAAGCTAGTGGATCTCTTTTCCTCCCCTCTCCTCTGCTCTTCCTCCCATTCCCAGATGGTGGTCTCCAAAGGGCTGCAGCTGATGGCAAGGACCCATCCCTGGGCTCTGCAGCCACTCCAGAAACCAGACTAGCTCACTACCCTCCTGCTCTCTGCTTTTCTACCCTCTGCTTCTCTCCCCACCACCCCTCCGCCCTGCTACCCCAACATCTGTGAGCATTATGGCCTCACCTTATCCCTCACGTTGGTGTCTGCTCCCCGACTTTGCAGAAGCTTCACCACCTCCAAGTGGCCCCCACGGCAGGCCCAATGCATGGCTGTGCAGTCCAGCTAGAAAGGAAGGGTGGAGCCTAACTGCAGAGCTTCAGGGAAGAAAGTGCCCTGGGAGAAAGGACCCCAGCCAAGAGGGCAGGCAGATATCCAGGGAAGGATAGGGCCACTCCAGTGACTGAGCAATGGATGCAGTGGAGCCGAAGAACCCGCGGGCTCCATCTCGTCCAAGCCAGATTTACAGAGGAGGCTCAGGGAGGAGATGGGCCCCCCCCCCACGGTCATACAACATACTACAGGTGGAGCCTGGCCCCCGAGGCAGCTTGTTTATGTCCCAGGTTGGAGGTTTGCAGGGATAGGGAGTCTATGAGTGCTGGACCCACCTCCTGCCCCTCACCCAATACCTGGCCTCTTGCTCACCCGATCCTGGAAGTCCACAGTGACCCCACTCTCTAGAAGCTTCTCCAGGATCTCCATGTGGCCCTCCAGGGAAGCTCGGTGCAGTGCTGTCCGGTGGAACTGTCCCCAGAGAAACTGTCAGGGCCTAAACTCTGGCCCCAGGCCTAAGCCCATCACCCACCCAAGTTGAGCCCAGGCCTTATCCCAGCCCGATTCTGACCCCTGTGCCGGGTCCCCATATCTTCCATGTTCCGCCGGCTCCTTCATGCTCTATCTGGACCAGCCTTGGAGGCCTCCTGTGCACTGTGGACTCTGACCTTCTCACTGCCCCCTAAACACACAGGCTGTTGCCTGTGCCCAAATGCCCATTTTGCTCATACTCCCTGTGAGTGCTTGATGAATTCTTGTAACTCCACGAAGATGCAGCTCAAGTGTCATCGACTTCTTGAAACCTCTAGGCCATAGCTGTCCCAGGGGTCCAGACAACCCTCCACTGTGATAGACAGTCAAAGGCAAGCCGAGTCTTACTTGACTATTTCCCCTGAGTGCCTTGCCCAGGGCCAGGATGGGCAGGTGCACCCTGATTACTGATTCAAGGAGGGAATGAACTTCCTGTCCAATGCAGTCGGCTTTCTGCTTTGGTCTCTTGAAACACTCAGGCCAGAGGGCATATCTTTCCATATTCTAATGATCCAGTTGTGCATCAGTCTCCCAGCTACTGTCAACCCTGGTCTTTTTGGTTTTGTGCTCCTAGCACCTAGCACAACGCAGAGGCAGGAGATGCTTAGATAGACCAAGAGGATTAAAACTCTGGAATCTAAAAAGTGGAAAGGACATGTAGTCTAAGCCTGCAATAATGCAGGCTGAAGGGGGTGACCATTAATTTGCACAATCCCAGGATATGATCTCGAGAGAGCATCCTACAAAGTATGAAAGAGGCGGTTTCAGGGAAAACAAAAAGAAGTATGATGGGTGACGGAAACATTTTGAAAATCGTGGGGATGGGTGCACAACATTATAAGTGTAATTAATGCCACTGAGCTGCGCACTTAAAATTTATTTGGCATATCTCATGTTTTATATATATATTTTGTAACCACAAGATAAAAATAATTGTTAAAAGTATGATGATATACAATGCAACACAAAGTATCATATCCAAGCATGTGCTTTAATAGTGTTTTCATTCGATAAATATACACTGAAGCACTAATATTCTATTTGATCATAACGTGCTCTGAGGGGAGGAGCCAGTTTTACGAAGACGGAAACAGGCCCAGAGAGGTGACGGGCCCAGCCACA